GTTTGAGGTTGCAATGAGCTATGATGATGCCACTACACTCTAACCGGGCGGTGACAGAGCAGAAAAAAAAAAAAAAAAAAATCTGGAGGACCTTGAATGTCAGACAAATGGGTACAAATTTGATTCTGAAACTAGAGAACCACTAAAGAATTTTGAGCATGATCAAAAAGGTGTTTTGGAAATAAGGGTTTGGCAAAAAAGAAAAAAGGGTTGGGGGAGATAAGGAAGGAAAAATAAAGATTTATTTTGGTCTAAGGATTCCATGACTATAATACTACTACTTAGGAATATGATATTTACCATTAAATATTTTACTACTAAAATACTTACCAAATGTTCACTAATAAGAAAGGCTAAACAACAGTGAGTTTATGGCATTAATGTATTCTATAAAAATATCTCAATAATTTCCAAATTAGTTTTATTTCTGTAATATGCATTTCTAATACCTGTTCAGCAATATAAAAAGTTTTGCTGTTTGTCCTGGGATGAATCCATAAACAACGGAAAGTCTCACCAAGTATAGGATTATAAGGTTTCTTCAGTCCCTAATTAAAAAACATACAAGTTTCAAATTATAAATATGGAAGATTCAAAAGACTTTAAATAAGTCAAAACAGGTTTAACTGTATCCTCTGGGAATCCTCCTTATAAAACTTCACAGTAAATGAAATCTATATAAAATAAAATTAAATGACTTCAATCATAATGCAGGTCTAAATAATCAAATATTTTACAATTTTGCTAACTCAAAGAGGCCAAGTAATGTAACTGTTAATTAATAATTTAAAGATTACATAAAATATAAGGAACTCATAAAAGGCTAAAGACAGTAAAATATAAACATTACCTTTGGCTTCTTATAGAATCCTGACAAATACCATTTCACTACTTTCTTCAAGCGGAAATAAGGATTTTCTTCAAGAGCAGCCCTATCAAACAAAATGGTAAACAAAAATTTTACAGAATATATCACAAATTCCTTTTCATATTTATCAACCAATAACTGAATATGAGATGATTAGAAAACATAATTCATATTTACAATAGATGGCAAAACAACAATGTAAACCAATTGCCA